CGTCCTGCAAGAAGAGTGAGTGTGGGGCTTTCCCTGGGAATCTGGGGCCCTGGCTAAGGTTGGGAGGGGACCCAGAGCTGATTCTGAGTGCGATGGTCTGGGAACTGACCTTCCTTTTCCCTGTGGGCTATGTCATTCCCTCTCTGGGCTTTCTGCTCTGAGCTCACATGGGTCAGGAAAAACTTTTTCTCTTGAAACACAAAGCTCAAAGGCACTGCCTATTGTTCCAGAACAGAGCTGTGCCATCCTAAAAAAGCCTCTTCCAGGGTTGGGGACAGGGTTGGGGACAGAGCTGGTGCCAGGCCTGCTGTTGGGGTAGGGAGGGGTAGGGAGGTGTCTGGTAAAAGTCTGCTCTGACCTCTCACTGTCCCCTTTCTTCCCCAGGCTGCTGCTCCTGCTGCCCCGTGGGCTGTGCCAAGTGTGCCCAGGGCTGCACCTGCAAAGAAGCATCGGACAAGTGCAGCTGCTGCGCCTGATGTCGGGAGAGCCCAGCTCCCCGATGTAAATAGAGCCATCTGTACAAACGTGGATGTTTTTTTTCATACCGCCCTGACCCGTTTGCTACATTCCTTTTTCTGTGAAACATGTGAATGATAATAAAACACTTTTGACTCGATTCTGACTCTGGTTGTCTTTGTGTGCCTTGGAAATAAGGGTCTGGGGTGGGGGACTGAACTGGGAGGGCAGAGACCTGGGCCCTGGATGGGAACGTCAGCCCCTAACAATCTGAGTGCCTTCAGGCAGGCCAGGTGACCTCACTGAGCCTCATCTTCTAGACAATGGAATGGCATTGTGCCAGGTCATGGGGGGTGGGAGGGACAGATAGAGGATCCCCTCTGTTCTCATGTCAAGGGTTGATGGCACAGAAACCTCTCCATCCCTCATTTTCATTCTCTGATTTTCCTGCCCAACTTCAGTTCCTCATTGGATCGGAGGCCTGAAAGTGACTACAGGGGCTGGAATCCAACTCCCCAGTTGCTCGAATCCTGCACAGTGCTTCTCAAACTCCACAGTGAAGGAACAGTTTTTGTTTCCTATCCATCACAGACATAAACCTTGCTAAGTAAAATGATATTAAAATGAAATCAGACACAATAGAAAACCCAATTTTAGATTCAACAGGAGAAATCTGATAAAAATATGAGGAAACAACAGGAAAATTAAAGATTTACAAACCCTGCACATACGTTCATCAGTGACGTGCACTGCAGACTGGAAACAGCAGACCAGCCCCAGCATGTGGCCCCCACAGCTTGAGCAGCATTGGCCAGAGCATCCCCACCAGGAACCATCAGTCTTGAGTTGCCCAGTGCCACTGACAGGACACTTGATGACCCCTCAGAGCTCCCTCTTGTGACTTGGCCCTGAATCTTTGCAAGTTCCTCCCAAGGTCAGGCTGAATTTGGTCTTCTGTCAAAGTCCGGCCCTTGGCGACTTCAGACCAGCAGAGGGACTAGGGATTTGGAGGCAATCACCCAGCATTTTCCTGGCAAGATGAAATGTACATGATCACTGGTTCCAGATGAAGTGTTCCATGTCTGCCCACGCTGGCAGGTGGGCAGGTTCTGCAGTCTGGAGGGTGTGGCGGTGCTCATTAGGAAAGAGTGAGGCCCTGGTGACTTGTAATGAAAGCCAGTGGTTGGTCCCCCTGGCTATTTGCTGAGGGAGTGCTACCTGATGTTCAATCAAAGAGGAAGATGAGGTTCCTGGCCTAAAAGTCAGGACCAGGCTCACGCATTGGTTCCCAGTTGGAGATTTCAGAAGTCAGCATGTGGCAAGGGCACAGGTTTTGGTGTCAGGCAGTCCTGGTTCACAGCACACTCCACCCCTTACTGGCTGTGTGGCCTGGGCAAGTTGCTGAAACTCTCTGAGCCTCACTTGTAGAAAGGAGATTATAGCTCAATGTGGGGATTAAAGGAGAAAGTGGCCTGGCTCCTGGTTAGGGCTTAATGAAAAGTGGTGCCTAGATCATTCTCTCCACATTGACTCACCTGGAGAAGGAACCCTGTTAAATCCCAACACGGTGCTGGAGAAAGGCTCACAGGTGTGGAAGTGTTGCTCTGGCCTAGAAGCTGGGAATGGGCAACCTGGCTGATCCAGCGCCAGGAGGAGTGTGGCTGACCTCCTACGGGAAGGCCTCTTTGATACGGTGCTGCCCGGGCATTTGAGCAGACACAAAAGCCTTTCCCATCCTTCCTGTCATTTTATGAATGAGAGACACAGGCCTCATGACCAGGACAGCACCCAGGCAGAGGCTGGAGTGATTGTGCAGAGTAGCAACCTGCCCCAGGTCACACAGCCCAAACGGAAAGGAAGGAGGGAATGAACCTATGCTACAGCTGGCCTCTTGCCCTGGCCGCAGCTGACAAATCACGATGTCACTGGTTGTGAAACTCTCCCTATCTTGGTTCTAAGCTATATGGGGCCTTTCAGATGGGTCAATTGTGCTCTTGGCTTAAGAGATGGGAACTGAAACCCAGAGAAGTCACAGAGCAACGCAGAGGGATCTGACTGCCCGCTCAGTGCTCTTCCCACGGCTGCCTCTGTGCCACATTTTCAATGTCCTCATCCTTCATGCGACTTGGTGGCATAGGGTGGTGGGTGACGGCAGGATGCTGCAGTCAGCCTGCATGAGGGCAAATCCCCCCTCTGTCACTTTTAGCTGCGTGACACTACCTGTGTCTCGATCTCCTCAATTGTACAAGGGACATAGTAATAGCACCTGGCTTATGGGAGTAAATGATTTAATATATGTAAAGAACTTAGAATGGTGCCTGGAAGGTGGTGAGTGGTCTATGATA